AGATGAGTGGTTTTCTTCTCTACAATATCTGAATGTAAATATAAATGATTTAGCGATTTCTGAATCTTTTTTAGATCCGGGAAGTGAATTTGGTAGTTTAATTGACCCGCCAAGTAAGACGCTTGGATGAAAGGCTGATAAGCCATCTGATTTTGCTATAAAGAGCAATTCTAGGCATATCACCAATTCATTAGGATGGTACACAGATGTGCCAGTTACTATGAAGGACAAAGAGAGTGAGACAGTCACAGTCATTGGAAATTTTGTACATATAGATAATGGCGAACCTGAACCAATGCTATTTTTAAGTATGTCAAATATTCGAAAGCTCCAAGGTGTTCCTGAGCCAAATAAAAACCAGTTTCGTATAAAGTTATATGGGAAGACCTATATTATTCCAACATATAACAAGGCCCCAGTAGCTAAGGATCCGCCAAAAGAGGAGCAGGAAGCATCATCTCAGGTTTTTGCTAATTCTTCTAACCCAACTAGTGAGGACTTAAAAAAAAATATGAAAATCTTGAAAAGCGCCTCTTGAAAACTGAGAAATGGCTTGACTTGGCATTAAATGCAAGTAAAATTTTAGTGGAAAAGTGCTCTAAGCTTATGAAGAAAAAATCGGATGCGTAACAATGTTTCCAGTAATATTTAATAATTTATTAAAATCAGATTCTCATCTAGATGTATTATTTTTAAAAGAATTGACTATTCTATTTTTTTCCACCAGAGAAGATTCACCTTCTGCCTCCATACTAATCTTTTTTTTTCGACTAACCTTATCTTTTCGTTCGCTAGTTACTGTATTCAGCCTTATATGAGAATTTGCACCATCTCGATGGTGCTCTATATGAATAACCTTATCTTTTTGTATATTAGCAGGGGAGCTATCATGCTCAGCACTTACCAGCTATAAAGATTCCTGGTTATTTTCTGAAATCTGATCAGAGATGCTAACTGATTCTATGATTCTACACCATTCCTCAGTCGGTTTAGGAGGCCTCTGATTATCAATGATTTTTTGATATGTCGTTGCTCCTATATGATGTTTTTTACACATAATATGCCGAGCATCTGGAATATTATTCTGAGCATTTCTGATTTCTTCAATGGCTTTGGGTGACAAGCGGGTAGCATCTGATTTAAGAAATTTATGAGTATGGGTTAATAGTTTTTTACTTATAATTTGTTAATAATAAATTTGTATAATACCAATAAAAAACTTGTAAAAAATTTATTCGCAATCTATTTGGAATTGGTCTGATATTGGTCTGATATTAGATTGATATATATAGGAAATTCGCTTCCTTTATCACGTAGCTTGCTATAACCATAATCCAAATAAAAATAGGTTTGAGATATATATAGTTTAAATATCATATTTGTCTCAAACTGGTTTATTATTTGTTTGATATCGATTTGATTCTGATTCCCTTTTTCCACATTCGAAGGAAAAAAACATGCATATAAATGCTTCTCGCGATTTCATCGCTCGAAGCCAGATATACCGGTAATCCAAATATATCTTTTTTTCTCATAAATTCGAAAAAAAGATGAAATGAGAAAAAGGGCAGAAAGTAGATGAACTTTGAATTAATTACTAAAATTTCTTTTTTCGAATTTATAAGAACAAAGGGATAAATTTATATGGCAAATGTGCATACGCTAAATGAGATAAATAGTGAGGTAGCTCTAGTATTTGGCAATAAACTTGGGGATTCGCCATCTAATCGATATCTGCCCAGCCGAACAGAGCTTGAGAACCAACTTACTTGTACAAAGTGTGACCTCGATATTGCTTTAAGCTCGGGTATTCAGCTTGGTACTAGATGCAATCTCTTAATAAAAAATAATGAGAGCTTTTTAGAGCGTGTATGTTAGCTTGAAGATAAAGTGAGAGAACTCAGAAATCAGATCACTCACAAAGATATTTCCTTTGATAATATCAAAGGTGAGATTGTTACAAAATTGAAAGAGATACGGCTCTTCAATCAAGAGTAGAAGAATTAGAGCAGGGTGTTTCTTTAGCACAGAAGGAGTTAACAGAAATGGATTCTTTCAAACGTAAATTAGAACTGAAAAACGCAGAACTATCTACTAAAAATATTTACTTAGATCTAGAAAAAAAAGATTTAGAAGATACATTAGCCAAAAAAAAGGATGAATTAGCACAGATGAAAGATAATTTAGTCACAACTCAAAGAGCATTAATAGAGAAAGACACCCTCCTTCAAGAAGCAGTCCTAAATAAAGCTTATTTAGCCGAACAGATCCCAAAAACATCCAGTGAGTCTGAAGTGGCTGGAGGGGTCTTAGAGGGACCAGGTATTAGTGAACAGGAGAAAAGTAATGATAATGCTAGCCCTGAAACCACCTAGAGTCTCTATAGAGACCGCTCTTCAGTAGCACCTATCAGTAATAAAAAATTTGATACTTACTTTTTTCAGTTTGCGATCTTTCTTATAATACTATTACTAATTATATACTTCCTGCGGTCCATATTCACTCATCTATATTCTTTTATATCACCCCTTAATGAAGAAAAATTTTTTCAAAAATATATAACTCCCTTTAATAAAAATTAGAGATATGAAATTCTAACCCACTATGCGGAAGAATTCGAAGACAGAAATACCTCCTATGAAACTTCGTCTTTTGAATATAGATGAAGTCACAAAACATGAATCATCCTGAAATATTGGCTATCCGGCGATGACATGGCCTTTTAGCATGTTAATTACTAGGAGAAGTGGTACAGGTAAGACTAATTTACTTGCGAATCTTGTTCTTGGTGATAAGGATGAATATGTGCAAAGAGGGAAAAAGGGTGGGTCTCGCTACATTAAATGTGATGATCTAATTATTTGCGGGTATTATCCCGATGAGCCAAAATGTGCATATGTGAGATATATATATAATCTAATTTTAAAAGACCCAAGAGCACCTTACTATGAGGATATTAGTTTCAGTTACATTCCTCCCGAAAAAATTCCTAGTACAAGAACTTTCTCACCTGAAAGAAGCAAGTTAATTATTATTGAGGATCTATGTTTAGCTTCAGAGCATATACAAAATCGAATTGGTTAGTTTTTTGGGAATGGACGTTACCGAAATATTTCATGTATATATGTAATGCAAAAATATCATGAAGTCGATACATTCATTCGTGAAAACTCAACTCATTTAATATTATTTAACTCTGATAGCAGTATTCAAGACATATCTAAAATTGTTGGATGATATACTGATGATGTAAAGGGTGTATCCATGGTTATTAATAGCTACCTCCGTAAAGGTGAGTTTGTTGTATTTGATCTCAGTAGGCCGGAGGATGATCCTCTTGCCATTCGACTAAGGTTTGATACACCATTGAATCTACAAAAAGAGATAGAGGCAAGGCAGAAGCGGAAGGAAAAAAATACCTTAGCTAATTCATAAAACTTTTTACTACGCTCTCGCAAGCTCAGAGATGCAGAAATTGATTACTTTTGACACATCTATAACTGATAGTAGTTTGCATGTGATGTGTACTCTGAAAAGGCATCCAAGTAGATAGACTCAATTAAATATATTTATTCGTTATATACTGTAGTCTGTTCACTGTTTTCCTAATGCTATTCTTGAGATCACAATTGGAAAATAAAATTTATACATTAGTATTTACTTGCAATATATGCAAAAAAGAAATAAAAATCTATGAAGTGTATATTAACAATTACTTACATTTTTTTTGTTTTCAGCTATATACAAATTTGAATCAAGATATTCCTTGATATAGGTTGATAAAGAATCACTAAAAACACTATAAATCGTTAAAACACTAAAACAATAAATTATTAATAAATATGTCTAGTCAAACTCCTAAAATCATTATAGATGAGGTTTTTAATAAATCGGTACCCAAACCAATTAATCTTCGTCCAGGATATAATTTGGAATATGTCAAAAAATATTATGTGGAATGTGGTAGTTATAATTATAATCGTGTTGAAAATATGTGCAAACTAGAAAAAAGATACGATAATTTAGCTATTATTAGACCCTGTGAAACACCTCAACAGTAGGTTATTCGTATAAAAGATGATTTGAAAGAGTTACTTTCTAGAGAAAGACATAGTATATTTCATACATACTGCCTTTTCAGTTTATTTGGACAAGGATCAATTAGGACGTACCTTGAAAATCACAGGCCAAAAATAGAGCATATTAGCTATCGAAGACCCAAAGTTCATAAAAGTCAGATAGCTATATATTTCAAATGCTGGAGATTAGTAAAAATTACTGAAATAAAGCCAAAAAAGGTATATTGGAAAGGATGGCGCCGATACGGATATGAGATTAAATCCGAGGACTTGATGCAATATCATTGAAATAATGAATGCTTCAATACCGAAATCCAAGATGAGTCAAGTTCATTGTCTCCTCCTCCATTGCCACCAAAACCCGTTACATTAATAGGCGGTCTTTCAAGATATATATATAAACATAATGCAAGTGTATCCAAGATTAAAAATCTCTGAAACGATCAATCAAATATGCCTAACATTTCTAGCAGAACTAGTTTAGACAACTTTGCCGATGCGTATTTCAATTCTGTGCGAAAAAATGCAAAGGAGATAAACTTAATATCTTTCGATTAAATATTAGCATAAATTTATTTGTAATAGTTATCCACCGTTTTCCTAATGCCATTCTTGAGATCATACTACTACCTCGTGATTTTATCGCTTGAAGTCAGTTGTCATAATTGATTAAGAAGCAAGAGAAAAAATAAATAAAAATAAATAAAAAATTGATTAAAATTATATTTTATGTGAACAGAGTAAGTTTATT